GTAGAAGACAGAGAGGAGGAAAGGGAGAAGAGAAAGAATATGAATATAACCAGAAAAGTGTCAGAGTGATCTAATACAACAAACAATAGTTGTGATATTATGCTCCACCTTTTTGGATACTCTGACTATAATGTTCACGGTTCTTATTATTTCTCTTTCTACATATATTAACTTCCTCCTTAAGAATTAAACTATTCAATGAATGTCTCAGTGTCCAATATCATTCATGTCCAAAACATTAAGCCCAGCCACTAATATCTTTTATTCTGACATGCAGCATTTAATCATGATTTATTTACATTGTCTCATATTTATTTGTTATGAAGTAGAAGGCTTTCCTCATGTTTTACAGGGCATGAAGCAAATTAGTGCATAAGGAAAATGAAAGAAACACACATTCCTATGTGGCACAGGCCTGGAAATGATAGCAGCTAAATGACTGCCAAAGGCAGTGCTGACACCACTAGCATTTCAGCATTATACTAAGAACTGAAGAAAAACAAGAAGCTAATTAGGAAAATACACTTACTGTCTTGGATGTAAAACCACAGCCCTAACTGATTTTTTGTGATTTGTTAACGTCACTCTTGTTTTTCCAGCCACCAGATCCCATAATCGAATTGTAGTATCATGGCTTCCTGTAATGGAAACAAATATATCCCTCAAAACACAGACCAGGAAAAATAATGCAAAAGTTAAATAAAATACAAAGCATTCTTCCAAAACACATATGTTCTAAATGAAAGCCTTATCACTTGCAAATCAGTCTTGGTTAATTTCTTCATAGTTCCAAATTTTTAGGTGGATTTTAATTCTTTAAAAAAATGCAATACAACAACTGATTCACTGTCAACTGAACAGCTAAAACACATGCAAATAACAAATAAAACAAATATATGATTGTATACTCTAGTGAAAAGGAAAAAACTTCAATGATTTTTTTTTAAGTTAATAAAATACATCAGGCAAAGGAATTATTTTCTAGTATTAAAGTTCCATTGTTACTAACTTTATTTAGAGCAAAGTAAGATTCAAATCAGTTCTAAAGGTTACTAGTCTCAAGGTATTTTGTCTTCTAACTTCAATTTCCTAAAAAAATAATTTTGACACTATAAAATAATACTTAATTGTCTGTATCACAGTATTCTAGTCAGACATTACAGGTTACTATGTATGGCATACTCTATGATATGTAAAAACCACGAGATAAGAACAGTGGAATGAAATTTCATTTGAATATATTTCAAATGTCCACGATTAAAATATGACCCATAAACACTGTAAACACAATGCAAAGCAAGAGTCATCGTGAATATTAAAAGTATATGTATAATAACATGGATTCTGATATAAATATTCTGTAAACTTGAAAAGTATCGATCATACCTGTAATAATTTGTGGTTCTGCAGCCTGACATCTCACTGTAGCAACTGCATTTGTATGTCCAGATAACGTGTGTACACTGGCTTTAGTTCTCACATCCCAAATCTATAAAAACGCAATACACATATTAGGAAAGAGAATAGGTATTCATTATCTCAAGAAGATAACTGGATCAATTCAAGGCTGAAAATTTACTAGACAACTAGTACCTGAATATAATAAAGAAAACGCTTAAATGAAAGATAATGATTTATCAACTGGAGGAATAATATAAATAGGAGACAACTTGAAAGAACTTTAAAAAGCTAAAAGATCAGGGTACTGAAAATCTAAGAATGGGCATGATGGGACTACTTTTTAACACTACTGAATGAAAGAACTAATGGACAATAGTTGTTACAGAATGGAACGTGAGAATATCACATTTCAGGGACAGGGCATTAATAACACTAACATGGTGAGGTCACAGAACTGCAGACTAAGGTGGAAAAAAATGCAAGTTAAGAAACTTAGGGACTAGGATATTGATGACTCAAGACAACTATCTTTAATTCTCTATCAATCAACTGAAGACTCTGAAACCAAACGTGCACCCTACAAGATGCAACATATTTACAGATAAAAACACAACTCTATCCCGTTTACCCGTGCAGTTGAATCTCGACTACAGGTTACCAACACATCGATTGTTGGGTGCAAATCCAAACCATACACTGCACTTAAATGTCCATGATAATGCCTTATAACCTAAAGACAAAGCAGGACAGTTAACACTTGTAGAATTAGAAAGATAAACAGTGGTTCATAATGTTTTAAATCCTTGATTCCAACCTTACCTTATTGTATTCAAGATCCCAGCATTTTACTTGTTTGTCTTCTCCACAAGAGAACAGGTATGGGCTCCTCGTGCTTACTATCACGCCCCGCACAGTACTAATATGCCCAGTCAATGACAGTTTTAATTTGCCACTAGCCAAGTCCCAGATCTGCAATCAAAGAGTTTTTTTTTTTCTTTCCCTGGTTACCGCAAAGCAAAATTTTAGAATCCTGATTATTACAATTCAGTTTTCAAAGAGAAGAGGAAAAAGATAACGAATATGTAAAAATAAAAAATTTTGTAAAATGACTCCCCTCCAAATAAAAGCAAGAAAAAAACTGGCATGCTCAAACTGGAAAAATATTTGCAATTAGATGACAGGTTAACCTTCTTGTTATATAAATGGAATCTTTGATAATAATAGTATGAAAAGTATGGTATTAAATTAACCGAGGATGGCAACAACTTAAAGAAACCCTAAAAGCAGCAAATACAGATATGAAAAAGTTCAAACTCATTAGAAATTTTATACAAACTTTTTAGTTATTTATTTTTTGAGACAGAGTCTCGCTCTGTCGCCCAGGTTGGAGTGCAGTGGCGCGATCTCGGCTCACTGCAAGCTCCACCTCCTGAGTTCA